TTCACCTTGGAGGTGGAGACGGCAGGTTCGCTTCCTTTCTTGGATGTCCTACTGAGTCGAAGGCGTGACGGTAGCATCCGAAGGAGCGTTTACCAAAACAAAACCTGGTCCAGACAGTATACAAACTTCAACAGTTTTGTACATATCCGACAGAAGCGTAACTTAGTCCGCTGCTTAACGCAAAGAGCCAGAAAACTAAATCTGCTCAGCAGACACTATTGAAATTGAGCTCCAGAAAATCCAGGACCTACTTCGAGAGAACGGATATCCCGACAGATTCATCATAAAGAATATGAGGGAGATAGAAACAAAGCCCACCACACCCACTGTGGAGAAGAAGACCCTATTCCGCAAAGTCCCCTTTCAAGGGGATGCAGCAAGCGAACTCTTAAGCAGACGCCTCAACCAAGCCGTAGCACAAACCTTCCCAGCAGCGAAAATTCGGGTGTTATTTTCAACCAACCCGGTACTGCATGGTGAAGGTAAGGATAGGCTGCCAGCTCAGACCACTTCTATGCATATTTACTCAATAACTTGCTCCTATGGAGTAGGCTATATCAGTCGCACGAGTAGGCGCTTATCCAAAAGAATACGGGAACACTTCCCGGCATGGCTAGCCAAAGATGATACCAAAAGCATAAACAGTTCTATCCTTCCACATATGGTTGACTCCGGACATCGTGTGGACCCCGGCGAAGCCTTTAAGGAGATTTACAAGGTCCCGCCAAACTACGCAAAATCCCTGGGTCAACGTCTGCTAGCAACAGCAGAAGCAACTGCAATCCGGTTGAGGAGGCTGGTTTTGTGCGCACATAAGAACCTCCTGCAAGCCCCGAACTTGGCATGGCCAACGATTACCTAATTGCCTGTAGCGTTCCGCGCCCTGATTGGCTCCCGCGTGTAAGGAAAGACAATCTATCGATTTTTAAATTTAAACCTCCTATGTAACTGTATGGCCTGATGATAAGTTACCAAAAGTGTACGCTCGCCAAACTTGTGTTCTAAAATAAAATCAGCAAACATTATAATAAACTAAAAAATTGACTAAAATATTAGTAAGTTTAATAAAAACCAAATAACGTAAAGTTGTTGCGCATGTAAATTGAAGGTGCGCACGGTGCTTCTCGCCGTTAACACTACTTATAATATAACTCGAGCACGGTAAGTCAGAACTCAGGTAGTTTTAAGTAGACTCCTAACCGCCATTTTTTTCTCTGGAAGATCCAGAAAGCCATGAAAGTCTTAGTTATAAGTAAGTAAAAATGTCCAAATTTGTCATACCAAATAAACTGGTAGTAAGTAACAAGTCTAAGTAAAAGTCTGTGTTATTTATGGCGCGCTATTTTGTTGCGAAAACATTAGATTAATAATAAAATTTCTGGGACCCGAGGTAGGATTTCATCGCTAATTATCCTCCCATTCCTTACGATTCTGTCTTCTTCAACTGCTTTTGATGATAGGTCGAGGAGGGGGTGCATTTATCTCTGTCTCAAAACTTCCCTGGGAGAAATGAAAGCTAACGGTGTAGACTTTTCATTTTAGTCATCGCATGTCAAGCATTCGGTTATTTTATCAATCATTACTATTCTTTTTTTCTTTTATAACATCTCTTTTTTCCCTGATTTGACCCACCTACTTATACTCTTTCACCGCCGGTCCCGTATTTCACAAACGTGGGCATTTTTTTTCTGTGGTGTTACTTACAAGGAATTTTTGCCCGCTTTTGTATTTAATATAATTAACCTTTTTTTCAATCATGGTTTGAAATATTTTCACAGCGTGAAATTCAGCAGTTATCATTGACAGAGTGTTCTCGATTACTGGACTGTAAAACCTGGCCCTTTAATCAGAGGCAATGCTACTAATAACCTCAGTCAAGGTCACTTTTCCTCCGAAGATATGAACGCCTCCCTTACTCGTGCGTTTGTGTTGATCTCCCCCTGTTTAGAGCGCCTATTTCACAGCCACTTTCCCCTACATTATGCTGACCATTCTGTTGATCCGAGTCGCGATGTTGCCCGGCTCGCTGGTGGGTGTAAAGTACTACCTGACGCCGGACTTCTCGAAACTCAAGGATGCCACCGCCTGGACGGACGCAGCCACCCAACTTTTCTTCTCCCTCAGTTGCTGCAATGGCGGCCTGATTGCGCTCTCCAGTTACAATAAATTCAACAATAACTGCTGCCGGTAAGTCCAAGTGGGTGGACAGTTTTTGCGCAACAACACCCTCTCACAATGGCCGCCAAAGCAGTGGGAGCTCTTTTCCTGGCTTCCATGAGAAGACTCTGAGATTCTTAGGCAAGGGACCTCATTCGGGCGTCCAAATTGCGTCGGGCAATGCATCCAAAATGCATTGTTTCACTTTACATGTTATGTACTATAGTTAGGACTCCTGCATTTGGGTCCCACAAAGGCAGGCCGACAGAGTCCATTGATGATCACTTTTAGTTTATTAGTCATCATCGGTTAGCCATACACGATCGAAACCAGCAGGGCAATGAGCCCGTGACGCAGGGATTAGAGCGTTGGACTTCCAATCAACAGGTTGTGGGTTCGTTTATCAGTTGCCGCAGCACCTGAATTTTGGTATGGCTGGCTGATGACGGCCAAAAAGCTTGAAATGGTCAATCCAGTATCTCTTGTCTTTGTTGGTAATAGCATTTTGCCTTTATATATGTAATGAAAGTTAGACATCCCAAAAGAGGTATAAGTTGACTTGTGTGCGTCAGAATTTAAATTTCCGATGTGTTTGCGGTAAACCCAGCCGAGGTATTACCGCTCAATAACGCCTTTTGTGAGTCCCAAAAAGGAAGAACATGACAAGAAGTTTGCAACGGCAGAAGTCTTTGAGTGTAAAAGGTACAACTAATTTGGAGTAACGAATGTGTGTAAGATAGGTCCAAGAATCAATCAGCTTCTCTTCTGGATTGGCCACTGGTGCGATTACCTGGGACTCAAAGGCTGACATTTAGCTTGAATTTTGAATTATCGATTGATTGACGGCCCGTGTACGTTCGCCCGTGTAGGCCGATCGATATCCTGCTTTGAGTTCGGCCATAGCTTGCGAGCTAACTGTTTGCTAAGGCTGTTCGGTAGACCGTCCTAATAGTTTCTCCGTTTGGTTGTCAAATGGCTACGTGGAATCCCGTTTCAGGAAAGAAGTTAACAATTAATTGTGCTATCGCCAGTTCCATGTACCCTAATCGAAATAGAGAGAGTTAAACCCGCTTTATTTGTAAGGTAGCATCCACACTTTTGGCATAAGGTGGCTCTATTCACTGAGACCAAGGGATAAATTAATAAAATATTCAAAAATGTAGAGGTTAACATAAATACCACATTTATTATGCAGAGAGGTCTGATCGGAAGTTCTGGATCTCCGTTTATTTACGCACGAGGTAGAGTGCTGACAATGGGAGTATAGAATGTTGATATGTACGGCAGAACCTATGTTGAAAATTTTGGCGCATAGTACGGGAAGACTTCGCAGCTACACCTTATATTGTTATTGTTTTAAACCAACCATGTTACATGTGTTGTGGTCGTCAGGCGAACCTAGCTAGCATCCTCAAATCCTGTTTATGCGGAAAATATTGCTCTACTTATTTTGGAACTTTTGGCGAACTGCATCTCTC